TCAGCACAGCAGCCAGCACGCTGCGCCCTGCCCCTGGTTGGCACGCCAGCTCCCGCTCAGCAGAGAGCACAGCACGTCGGCGAGGGAAAACCCAACGGTTCCCAGCTTTACACCTGCCCACATAAATTAACAGGCAAACAGCTGGGGCTCTGCAGCGCAACATGCGCCGTGCAGCATCCAAAAAAGCAAGAGGCTGCAAAGCCCTCTCCAGGGAGGCTGCTCGTTGGGGGATACATGGCAGAGCTCTGCACCCCAGTTCTGTCTGCCATTACTGGGACCCCTGGGCATGGTCCCTGCCCCATTGCTGAGAAGGATCTGAGCAGCAGCAGAGCTGGGACCCAGCACCAACACAGCTGCCCAGATGCAACCTCCAGATCCCCCACGCAGTTCCGGGGGGGCCCTGCAGGATGCTCTCAGGGAACTCTTGCTTGTGGCATGCACCAGTCCCTGGCTGCCTCAGGGAAACGAGGCACCCACCCAATATTCCACCCACCTACCATGTTCATCCACAGTGCTGGGAAATGCATGCAAACCCAGAGGGATGCAGGGCAGGGAGCAGGAGGGCAGGCAGGACTGACCCCCTTCCCAAGAAGGGGAGAAGGTTTGCAGGCATTCCCTCCCCTCACTCCAAGCCCTTTCCCATGCCCACTCTTTGTCTGCCTGTCCCTCCGCAGCTGCTGCCATATCACATCTCACATTTTCCAGCCCGCTGAGCAGGGCTGGGAGCTGCTCTTTACCGCACCGCTCAGCAACAGCAAGATGGGGCAAGGACACCTGAGACGCCTCCTCCCTTGCTGGCCTGCCAACCTGTGCGCGAGAAACACCCCTTTTTCTGGGGATAAATGCTTGAAATAACCCATTTATGGGGGGGTCACAGTGAGTGCATATGCCTGAGAGCAGGGGCAAGATGACACCAGCCCGCTGTGCCCAGAGCAGGAGGAGGAAGGTAGAGCCTTGCAAAAATCTGGGTTACACAGAGAAATGGGTGAAGAGTGCTTAAATATGAATGTTTTATTATGGCAGTCGAGGAAAGATGCAGATGCAACATGAGCTGGCACCGCTACCGAGGGCTACGATGCACTCTGCTGGAAAGCTCCAAAACCCAGCGTGCATCACCCAAGTGTAGTAGCACCACGCATGTCTGAGCTGTGCCAAAATGTCACCAAAACCCTCCCAACACCCAAAATCCTCATTTCTCTTTAAAAACACACCAGGTTTGACGTGGTTCTGATGAATAAATAACAAAATATTAATTTGCAGCTATTTGCGTGAGTCCTAGGAAGTAAGTCACCGCTGATAAATCTGATTCATCCACAGCCAAGGGGGGCTGCTGAGGCCAGGGGCCACCTCTGCAGGGTCCCTGCATGCTGCTCTCCAACCTGTGCTGCATGACAGGGCAGGGGATGCTGATCGCTTGGGTTAGGGCTTTATAGGGCCCCAAATTTTTAGCAGAGACAGCACAAGCCAGGACCCTGCTGCAGCCCAGCGCAGTTTTCCTGCTCCTTGCTGGAAAAAACGGTCAACACTTCCATCTTTTTTTGGAGCCCAAGGTTTGCGTGAGTATGGCTGTGGCTTCTGCCCAGATGGAGGCAGGGTACCAGCCCAGTAGTCTCCCACCCAAGTTTCAGGAGATGCGAGTTACAACACCAAAACATGGCTATAAGCAGGATGCACACATCAGGGAAGCATGAGCAGAGGGAGCCAGGTGCTGGCGTGAGCACACAGGAGATGCTGTGGCCAAGAAGAGAGGATGCCGCTGGCATCCCCATGGAGCTTCATGGTGCACACCTCCAGCAGCTCTCTGCTCTCCCCACTGCTCCTGGCTGGGGGATTTCAGTTGCCACCCCTCACGGCAGGTGAAACACTCGCACCCTGCACACCTGCAGCTTGCCAGGAAGACAGCCACATGGAAATGGAGGAGGCAATCGCAGAGTCCGCAGGAACAGCAGCGTTTGCATGCACATTCTTGGAAACTGGAGGGGCCTCATCTGTATTTTTCCAGCTCTCAGTAAATCAAAGCCCTTAAGCTCTTGCTGCTAATTCTGGCAGGAGTTGGGACACCAGCTGTGAACTGGGGCTTTGCTAATGGACAAAAGGCCTGATTGAGCATCTTCGAGCACGTCACCCTGCGCCCAGCTCCCACCTCGTTGCTATAATCCGGACACATTATACTAACTTTGGCAGCAGTGGTTAAGAGCTGGCCTGATTTCCAACCAGCAACATCCAAAGAGCAGCCAACGAGACAGGGTACCAACCCCTGAACCCTCAGCAGGTGATAGCACAAGCATCTCACCCACAGCTCCACCCTAAAGAGCAGAAGGTGCAAAAATGCCTGCAGCCCAGAGGGACATGCACTGGGTGGGTGTTTGCGCCCACCCTGCAGCCAGCAGTGCGTGCCAGGGTGCATCAGGTCAATGTCTGATCTGGCTCCACCATACACCCATGAGCCAGGCAGCCATGCCACACACCCGGAAAAAGGCCCCGGGGACCATGGGAACCAGTGGAAAGAAGCAAGATGGAAAATCTCCCCAGGGTCTGGCAGCATCACCAGGCAGGGAGGGCAGTGGGGAGCATCCCAACCTGTGCCGGGCCAAGCTGTGCCCAACTGCACAGGGTCAGGTTGTGCCATGCTGTGTCCCAGTATGCCAAACCAGGCTGAGCCAAACTGTGCCATGCTTAGCCATGCCATGCTGAGCTGTGCCTTGCTAAGCTGTGCCAGCCTAGGCTGTGCTGAGGCTAGCCATGCCAAGCTGGGGCCATGCTAGGCTTGGCCGTGCTGAGCTGAGCTGCACCCTGCTGTGCCATGCCAGGGCAATCCATGCCCAGCTGGGCCATACCAGGTTACGTCAGCCCATGGTGTGCCAACACAGGCCCTGTGCCAAAGTGTGGCATGCTATGCTGAGCCAAGCAGTGCCCTGCCATGCCACACCATGCTGGACCATGCCCAGCTGGGCCACGCTGTGCCAAGCTGAGCTTTGCCCTGTGCCCACTTCGGCCATGCTGTGCTTAACCAAGCCATGCTCTATGTCCAGCCACACCACACTGTGCCAAGCTGAGCCATGGCTTCCAGGCCATCCCCAGATGTGCCATGCTGTGCCGAGCTGAGCACAGCTATACTGTGCCTGGCCATGCCCAGGAATGCTGAGCCATGCCATGCTATGCTGACCAACTCAGCCAGGCCATGCTGGGCTAAGCCGAGCTGTGCCCTGTGCCCAGCCATGCCCAAGGATACTGCACTGTGCTGTGCCCAGGGATGCTGAGCCATGTTTTGGGATGCTACCCCATGCCCTACCCAGGGATTCTGAGCCACTCTAGGCCAGAGATACAGTGCAAGGCCGAGCCATGCCCTGGGATGCCACACTACAGCCAGGATGCTGTTGAGCCATGCCCTGGGATGCCACACCATGCCACACTACAGCCAGGATGCTGTGCTAAGCCATGCCCTAGGATGCCCACAGATGCCATGCCATGGCACGCCCAGTGATGCTGAACCATGCTAAAATCAGGGATGCTGTGCCACACTGAGCCATGCCCCGGGATGTCACGCTGTGTCCAGGGATGCTGTGCCCTTCCCTGAGATGCTGTGCCAGGCCATGCCCGGAGACGCAGAGCCACGCTACGGCCAAGGATACCACGTCATGCTGCCCCATGCCCTGCGATGCCCACCGCGCCGCGCGACGCCCAGGGCTGCCGTGCCCACCTTGAGATAGTCGTTCTCCGAGCGCAGGTCCTCCAGCTCGCGGAGCAGCCCGTCAGTGCCGGCGTCCAGCAGCTCCTCGGTGAGGTCGGAGAAGGCGAGCGAGGTGCTGAGCTGCAGGCGGCTGCTGGCCATGGAGGCGGCC